GGTCTGAGCGGGGCGGATCTGAGTCCGGTAAGAACATCTTTATCCGGGTTTACCAAGGACTCAATCGAATCGGAAGGCAGTGTGGTGTTGCCCGTGATGGTGGGTTCGGAACCCTGTGTAGCAAAGTTGAACCTTGAGTTCATTGTCGTACGTTTAACCTGTCCACACAAAATCATCATGGGAAGACCCGCACTGGAGGACTTGAGATGCATTATCTCTCAGGAGCATTTATGTATGAAGTTCCCCACCCCAAACGGTTCGGGATAGCTCGGGGCTACCTATGAGGTAAGCCATTCCATTATTTTCACACCCTTTCCACGAGTTAGACAAAGAATAATTAAGAACCTCCTTCTTACGGTTGAGTGAAAGGCTAAAAGAAATATAGAAGACAAATATGACTTCGTTTGAATGTTTCCAACCATATCATTTATTTCTTTTATTTAATATTACATTTATTATTATAATTCTACGATTATTATTCTTAAGAATTAATCAATGTCGTCCAGGCACACCCAGTTACTGCCGCAACAATGACTGTTGCCAGTGCCGCCGCCGCAACACCCATCAGAGCCAATACCAATAGTGACCCTGAAATAACTAGTCTAAATCTCATATTAACTACACAACTGCTTAGTCGATAGATGATTGAGCCGATAACTACTATCACATTCCGACAATAGTGTGTGCTCAAGTCATTCCCATGAGTCACTGTGGTGGTATAGGTTTGATGAAATTACAAATTGACGAATCCAGCGTATCTTGGGGTTCCAGCCACTACGGCTAGAGTTTTGGTGATTGCGAGTTGCGGGTAGGATTCCAATTGTTGCAATTAGTGTTCGAGTCATGGTGGCTAAGATTCTCATGACTACGGCTAGAACTAAGGTTGGGAAAACAGGCAAGGAATCACGGGTCAGGTCGAGTAGTACACGTTCGGAGTGTGTTAGGGCCGGTTCCTAATTTTCTAAAAATCCAAACGGGGCGTGGCGGATCTTTAAAATTTAGGAACCCAACGGGTCTTAAAATGTGAAAAAACGGAAACCTAGACCTACCCGTTTTAAAACATCATTTTCATAAACTCTATTATTTTTAGGAGTTGTTTACTTTCGACTTAATAGCAACGACAACTTAATCATTCAGCCATTAAGTCATGTTTACTTATGATTTAATTGAAAACATGACTTAATCATTCAGCCAAAAAAATGGCTTAATCATTAAGCTGGAGAATAGCAATCTTTGTCACTAAGACGTCTATTAAGACGTTTGTTTGTCAATTTTTTCAAATTGATAAATAGATTTATATTAACGAATGAAGTTTTTCATTGACATTATAATCTAAGAATAATACCAAATTGATTATTCTACTTGATTCAAACTTTTTATTTAACATACAAAATAAACAGTCTCATTTACAAAAATCACTTAATCTAGACGAACATCTTAATCAAGACAGTTTTTCATGTTCTTGTGTCTAGACAAAGACTCTCAATTGAAGCAACTTGTGAATCTATTAAAAAGAGTTTCAAAGTCCAGACCCTGCCTATTAGGAGTGGGCAAAATTACCAAACCGGTGTTGTACTTAATCAGTCTGGTATGGTATCAAACTGGAAAACAAGATTTTATATAAATCTTTAAATTGTGTACCAAACCAAACTGTATAGATTCCAAACCTTTACTTCACTGGTTCTCATAGAACGAAATCCAATACGGGACCAGACCGAATTATTGATTCAACTATACATTTACTCTAAATCCCTCATCATCATCATCATCATCATCATTATCATCATCATTACCCCAGTGCCGCAAAGGCTCCCACCTACGATGGGATAAGGAAGGTCAGAATGTCAGATGTACGCAGTCTTACTCCTGTACTAAAGCACAGAGTGACTGTTTCCGGATGACCCATTGTGAAATTCGCGTCGAAAATTGCATGGACTGACTGTTGTTTATAAAAAGAAACCCAAACAATTTAGTGAGTCATTTTGCTTTACTTCATCATATTCCCAAGCCAAAAAGTAGTGAGTTTTTGGCTTCATTGCAAATAATGGAAAATTTACCCTAAATCCCTAATATTCCCTCTGCCCCGAAAAGGTTGGCCAAAGTTGACTTTCACGTGGTTTACTAAAGTAAAAACTGTGTGGTTGAAATTTATGCCGAGAAGAGAGTTAATTTTAACCACATATTCCTTACTTTAAATGGAAATGACACATCTTTTTTGTATATCCAAAAAAGGAAATTTGACCAACTTTTTCGGGAAGGAGGGAAGGAGGGAGTATCTGTTCTTGCTTCACTATTCCAATGCTTTTTGCTCGCTGCTATAGCTGCCATAGTGCTCCTTTTGAATCTCCTCACCCTTAGTTTGTCTTATCACAACTTCTCGTTCTTATTTTATTGTGTCTTTAATCTATAATTGATTCTCTAAACTCGTATCTCTGTTTATATTTCTTTAATATACAACCCTCTAAAGGGTGTAGTCTAACGAATCGAGTTCAAACCCTAAATCGCAAATGTCGAAACTTCAAGGTTCCAATCTAGTCATGGACTCAGGCCGGGTCAGGCCCGGACCGGGCCGTCGGTTCGTATCATATGGGCCCGGGACCGGCCCGAGTGTTGGACGGGTCCGGTTCGGGCCGGGCCACCCGCCCGGGTCACGAGTCAGGCCACCCGTTGGGTCGGGCCGGGTCGATTAAATATTTATTTTTGTTTTTATAATTTATATTTTATACTTTATAGTTTTATACAAGTATTAAAAAACAAACTTCAAGTGCATTTATTTGAAATGAAATAGGAACTACATTTGAAAATTAAATAGGAACTACAAGTGTTTTTAAAACATGAAATACTAATCAATCATTCAATCGGAATCTCCGGCATAGATAGAGTCACCCTCGGTTATAGATTCATCCATAAAGTGTTGGGATGGGGTGATGTCAATTTCTTGAGCTCTACGGGCTGCTTTCAACCAACCGTGGTAGCATATAAGCATCTCAAGAGATTCAGCGCTCAACCTCGTTCTGGTTTGTGTTAGGACATTGCCGGTCGAACTAAATTCTTGTTCCACGGCAACCGTTGAAACCGGCATTGATAGCACTTGCTTAGCCATCTTTGCTAAAACCGGGAACATTCTTTCTTTTCCCTTCCACCAGTTTAGTACGTCAAAATCATCATCTTCTTCAAAATCAACATCATAAGTTAAATACAAAGAAATCTCATTAATTGTGCTTTGTTGTGTAGCGGGAGTTGATTTCGTTTTTTAATAAGATTGGCAAACGTAGATTTGAAAATTGATTTTCCTTTAGATGATGTTTGTGTCGGGGGAGGGGGCGCGTTGCCATATTGTGCATGAAACTCATTGAATAATGCATAAAATATATCACTAACCTCGTTGTATTCTTTTTTCGGATCAATTGGGTTGTCCTCATACATTGGCAATGGACCAAAAAAAACCAGCATAATAATAATTCAAACATTCTTCTAAAGAACCAAGTCTAAAACGAGGATCGAGAACAAATGCAATACCATAAATATGCGGAATATTTTAAAAACTTTTCCTTCATAAAACTAGCAAAATAACTCACATAATCAGCATTCTCAAAATTTGAAAAAGCACCAGTGAGATTAACAGCTTCACGAATAAATTAGTTTGAGATAGGTTTATAAACATGACTAAAAGTTTCAGTTGCATTATTAAAATATATCAAAGCATTACAAATTTTTTCACAGGTGTCGATCTCAGCCGAGTTTATAATATAGTTATCATATTGTTTCATAAAAGCAAAAAAATGTTGTTTATATCTAAGAAGAACTCCAATTAACTTATAGGTACTATTCCAACGAATAGACAAATCTTTAGGAAAAGCCACATCTCTCACCTCTTTCTATCAAATAATCATGCCATTTTTTCCAATCGAAGTTAAAAATGATTACTACTATGTCACTAGTATTGCATAAAACATCTTAAATATTCATTTATGTATATCTAGTTTTATACATTATTCAATAAAAAAAACATAACTTCTACTACCCACACAAATATAGTTTAAAAATGAGTAGCAAAAATGTTTTTTTGTATCATTATTTATTGTTAAATGAAAAATATACAAGACTAATTTGTACTAAATTAGTACTAATTCAGTACTAATTTAGCAGAATCTTCATGTGGAGATAAATGACAGATACAAATATGTATAGGCTTTTTAATAATTACGTATAATAATTATTACTTACATTATTCATTAGTTAAGCATGAAGATTTATTTATAACAGCAAATTTCAAATAATTTCTACTTCAGGGTATTTTTGAAAATTGATTGATTGTGTGGTGTTCTATAGAGTGACATTATTTAGCATTGGTAAGAAATGATATCGCCCCAATTTAAAGTGGAACCGTACTGAACAGTTTTTAAGTAATTGCTTAGTTGTTTAGGTATTTTATTGGTTTACGTTTACTTATTTATAGATAAACTTAAGTATTTAATGATCAATAGCTTAATGAATAATGACCAAATTGAAATAATATTTTAGACATTTACATAAACTCTTAAAGTGTGCCGTAGCCCGTAGGCGTCTTTATTAATATGGAGGATTTTGCATTTTTTTAGTGGTAACTATTTCTGATATGATTTTTAATTTTTAGGTTGTCTACTTCTTTATACCAATTTATAGTAATTCGATGATCAAAGGACTTCCAGCTAGGGGTGGACTAGGCCGGTTCGGCCTGGCCCGGGACCCGGCCCATTACTGTGCAGGCCCGGTCTAGCCCGGCCGGGACCAGGACTGGGGCCTGAACTGGTTGCTTAAAGAGGCGGGCTACGGACTAGGTATATGGTGAACCGCCTCACCCCAGTGACCCCAGTCCCAAATAATTTTCTTTTTCTTTTTTAGCATTGGGCTGATTGCTAGATGGGTGGGGCTGGGCTGTTTGGGGGGTTTAGGGTGGGGGTGTGGGTTGGAATTAATTCGAAATGACCCAAAAAAAATGGAGCCCGACCCGGCCTGATCCTGGTACTAACTCGGGCCGGTACCGGGCCTGAATATTTTGGACCCGGAGCCCGCCCAAGCCCGGAGCCCGGTCCATGCCTACTTGCAGCAGCTTTATTAACTAGTCGAGATTGAAGGTTACACGATGTTGAACAAAAAAGAGATGACAATTGCCCACATCTCCCACTACATCATACACAAAACATTTCCCATGCAACTATGCAAGGACAAAAGCACCTTAATTTGATTTTTGTTTTGTTTGCCTTTTTTGGATTGCCAACTGGGACACTCTTTCTTTGTCTATTTGATTTGATGGTAAATGCAGATTGAACGAATAGCACACTTCTATGCAAGTTAGAGTCTCCGGCCTTGTCTTGAAGACGGGCTTGCGAAGTTCCGGGAGCCCATACTCGCAGTTCTTAATAGCCTACGGAATTCCAATAGGCTTATCCTCCCATCTTTGTCAATGTCTGCTTCCTCCAGGAGTGGATCTATGGAGCCTCTTAATCCAGTGTGCTGCAACAAATTAGCATCTCTTCTTGTGTAAAAATTGTGATCTATACACAATGAGAATAGGTACATAAACCACAGTGGGGAGGTGATGGGTTGGTTATATGAGTCAATAAACATAACATTGGGGTTTCGAGATTCCTGGACCCATGACAGGGGGTTCTTAACATTTAGTGAGAATAAGTCATGCACTAAAACTCAATGAATCTATGTTAAAGTATTTTCCTAAAACTAAGTTTATTTTACTTATTTACTACCTATGTCCCGGGTTAAGGTTCATATTGTAAAATGGTAGGGTTATTTAGAAATGATTAAATAAGGTAATTCGAGCATAATATATTAACTTTCATTAGCATTTTTCTCCTTCCCAATCATTTTCCGTGATCCAAATATACCCATAGGGTCCATTTGGGGGCCGGAAAATACTTGGGGAAGGAAATAGGAAGTAAACTGTATAGGATATTTTGATGGAAAGAAAATGTGGGTGACTGATAAAAGAAACACTACAAATAAATATAATAATTTTAAAAAAATTGTTGATACACATTTTATTCATTTACAGTTACTGCATTAACTCGTGAAGACTAATAAATATGAAGTATAAATATACCGTGTGAAAAATTGAAAAGAACTTAACATATTTCGTTGCCCTTTTCATTTTACAAAGAAAATACGTAGTATAAATGTAGGGAAAAAACATGGCATTTTTTCATTCCCCTAAAGTTTTGTGGAATCCATACACATCCTTAGCGGCATCATTATTTCTGTTTGTTAAGGCAATGATTGTCATCCCAAAATGCTGCTAGGATTCACCAATACTTACCTTCCCTATCCATAGTAAAATACTTGATGGGATAGCAAGTCTTAATGAATATGTAACCGGGGAAATGAGGAGCTTGATTTATATGATCGTACACTTCAACTAAGAGCAGCTCTAATACAAATGTGTTAAAAGTGCATACGTGTAATGTGAGAGATAAAGACCAAAATTTAATTATTGGAATCTCTCTCCTGTTTCCAGTGTGTTGATTCTTAGTTAATTTCATTAACAATGTTAAATACAATGTCTTGATCTAGATGTTGTATTTGACATTGTGAACAGAGTAGCTAAAAAACCGAGAAAACAAGAAATGAAAAGACTGACCATTTTAAGTTCATCTGGAGTGATATATCCATCTCTATCAATATCAAACTTCTCAAAAGCGGCTAGTGATCTTTGCTCCCACTTTTCTGAGTTATGTCCCTCCATCTGATTTACGTGTAAAGTGGCTGCAACAAACTCCTGGAAATCCACAAGCCCGTCTGTATTGCTGTCAATCTGTCATTAAAAACCCAAAGAAGACCATGTATAAACTATGTGAAAATCAATACTGAGGTTCTTTCCTTGAACCAAAAAATAAGAAGTTTACCGCTTGAAGAATCTCAATAACCCGTGACTCTTTCAACTTCCATGGTAGATCCTTGGCAAGAGCCTGCAATAAAACAAGATCTCTATTACGTATACCCCAAATAAAAGTTACTTTTGGTCCCACATCTATTAGGTTAATCTCACTTTTTTTCTTTTGGTGCACGACTATGGATTTTTGCTAGTATTGGTCATTTGCAGTCGTCTACACAGCAAAAATCAACCGCAACGTAGCCGGATAAGTAGTACGAAGTAAGAAAAGTGGAAGTCCATGACCAGAAGTGGAAATGACTTAATAGTAGTAGTGGAACTGAAGGTGAAAATATTTCACCAAACAAAAAGCAACATAAACACCGCATTTACGAGGAAAAATACATGATATAATGAGGAAATATACCAGTCTCATTTCTTCAAGACTAATAACACCATTTTTATCTACATCAATGGCCGAAAATTGATCTTTCAGATCAGCCAACTCTTCCTCGTGAAGTGTGCCAGCAAATGCCTGCAAGGCAGTGTCGTAGTGAACCAACATTTGACGATATATACAAAAAAACAGAAGTGTATAATGAGATAAAAGATGGTAAAAATGCACTTCTTAGTCCCTCAATTGTTCGACTTTATGTAATGTAGTTATGTAGGGGAGTTCTCTTTTTAATGCATGAAACTTGCGTTCCTGATTTACCAAGTTTAGTCCCTCGATTGTTATATTTGGGATAGATTTAGTCTCTCAAATTAAAGTCACCATTTAGTATTACGGTTTACGTAGAACTATCAGAAAAACCTTAGGTAAAAAATGCTCCCATATACTCTAATATTTAACTTGGGGAGGCTAATTGCTTCTACATTATAATAATTGAGATGCTAAATTTACAAATAATGAAAGACATGTCTGAGATTAAATAATACTACGTACTAAACAACTAGGGGACTTTAAACTAAAATGTGAGATTTCTTCCCCTCAAGGATAAAGAGGGATTACCCTTAATGCAAACTGCTTTAGATGGCCATACTTAACAAATTGGCGCATGTTCGAAAGTACAGAAATGTCTAATGGAATATCAGACGCATCACCGCCTTCTCGGACCCATGGATGTGCTGCAAGAAAATGTTTTGACAATGTAAAGTAATCTAAATGTTAAAACGTATTGATAGACTCAAGCATGATATTATGGCCAGCAAGATAAACTCAATAATTCCCTCAAGGGTATGTTTGGATCTATAAAAATTCATGGAATGGAAACGATTGCTAATGAAATTCATTTTCTTATGTTGGTAATTAGTTATTACCTCAAAAAATGCAAAGCAAAGTGAAATAAGAAATATGTTTTTTACTTTTATTTTACACATGTTTAAATCTAGCAGTCCTAATATAGTAGAAATCAACAAAAAAGATGAGTATCCCCAACAATTTCTTTCCTTCCAAAATTCCTATGCAGTTTCCCCCTATTTCTTTCCCATGCATTTCTCACGCTCCAAACAGACCCTAAAGGAGAGAAAAGAAGAAAAACCGGTAAAATAGTGCTTACAGAGGGCCTGAGCAGCAGTGAGTCTAATACATGGATCCTTAACCAATAACTTATTAACAAAATCTTTACCACTGTTGCTTATGCTCGGCCATGGCTTGCGACGAAAATCGGGCTTATTTCTAAGAACCTATGTGTAATGTCATAAACAAAATACTACACATTAGGTTTATGAACATGCACGCATATAAAGTGGGAGCACATCATTTGCATATAGGACCCTATAAAAGAAACATGAACGATACCGCAATCGCATGTGGACTAACTAACTAAATGACAAGTGACCAAATCCCAAAAGAAAATAGATGATATAAAGCAAAAACATGCAATGACAGTGTAATTAAAAGCACTAGGGCAGGACATTTTAGAAGAGCATGCAAGTCAATGCACAGTGTAATTCAATGTGTACATTTTGGGAATGATTTTACCATTATACCCCCACTTTAATGTTACGTAGGCCTATAAATTAGGGGTAAAATAGTAAATTACCAGGTGAACACCAAAATCTACCCATATCCTTACCCCAATGTATGAACTAGACAAAACCATAGCTTGTTAAATTAAGTGAAAATCAAGAGCCACACCTCCTTGAATATACCATCTTCTGTTTTGTCCCAAAAAGGTCGCCGACCACAGAGCAAAATATAGGTTATTACACCGATGCTCCAAACATCAGATTGAGGCCCTGATCTACGCTTCAATACCTCAGGGGCAACATAATATGCACTTCCAACAATATCTTGAAATTTCTTCCCTGCATTTATGATTGTTTTTCCACAAGAATTTTATAACTTCAGTTTTTTGGATGAGTGATTATTACTCCGTATTAGATTGAATAACAATCAGTAGATCATCTAAATACCTGGTCTTATGAAATCTGAAAGACCAAAGTCAGTTGCTTTCAATGGAGAATCTGCTTTTGGTGATTTGAAAAGAAAATTCTACATAAAAAAGCATGTGAGCAAAGGCAGTGTATAAGAGAATGCTTGGGATGACTTATTTCCAAGAAACAAGTGCTTTTTAGAAAAATAGAACACTTTTACTTTTAAAAAAATGTTTAACAGGGAAATGGAAAGAGTGTTTTGACAATAAAAACACTCTTTGAAGCTTAATTTAAAAAAGATAGTAGCAGATTGGTGCTTTTTCAGAAGATGACATAAAAACTTTTGAGTTCTTAATTGAGAAAGCACTGATGATGAAAGCACATATGTCGTTATATTATAACTTTATAAGTTGTCCCAGACATGCTCTTAGGAAAGACCCTACATAATGAATGCATAAGAACCGTCCACACCTCAGGTTTCATATCACGATGGACCAAACCATGTAAATGACATTGTGCCGCAACTTTGAGCATCTGCCTCACTACTATTGCTGCATCCTTCTCAGTGTAACGGCTGTCTTTTCTAATTAAAGGGAAACTATTTGTAAGTCCTATATGGTTATACATTGGAATCAGGAACTCATACAAGAAAACAAATACTGCAACCGAAGTGTTTTGAAAAACTATAAACCTACTTGCCCAGAATACGGTCAAGAAGCTCTCCGCCTTCACATAATCTGAAACAAAAGGCTTTTTTAGTTGAAGCAAATATTTGCAACTAAGGGACAGTTTGGATGAAGGATTTAGGAGGTGAAAGCTTCGGAGAGCTTAGTCTATACCATGAAAAAAAGAATGCTTGTGAAAACAAATATTGTGTTATAGAGGTGTTATAAACATATATGTATTCTCTAAAACTTAAAGTAAAATCTCAATACATATCATGATACAGATTTAGCCCTCCAAAATCCAACCCGCAAGCGGCCCTATGAATCTATTTCCATGTAGGGTTTTGGGTGAAAAGTGGAAGACCTTCTAAGGCTACTCTATATGTTGATATATTATTTGATATTTTATTAAAAAATGAAACAATAGCATAATATGTGATGGTATATCATTTCAATAACCTTTCATTCTTTTTACATACATTCTTCATCATGATATTGACTAAGCCCTCCAAAGCCTTCCCGTCCAAACTCCTCAAAGACCCTCCCATCCCCTCAGACCCTAAGTAGAGTAAATGGGGTTCAATGAGGGAATGGAGGTTTAGGAAATGAGACTTACTCCATTACAATATATACATGATTTTCATCTTCAAATGCATTATGAAATTGAACCACATTCTCATGACCAGCTAAGGCCTTCAATATTTTGACTTCACGCTTTACATCCTCAACAGCTATGGGAAGAAGCATCTGTTATGAATCTCTAGATTTGTTAGGATAATTTGCACTAAAATCTAAAACAAAAAAGGCGCAAAGTTTGGTTGCAGTGATGCAGTCTAAGTCAGCATAAATATTGTCCATTAGTTAACAAGTATATTAAGCATCATAACTCACTGTTGCAATTAACTTCCTGATTCATCTATAATCGATACATTTCAGATAAATGTACACGTAATAGGTAGATAAGAATGCACTTATGTTACAAAAATGCCATAAGAAATTGCTACAAATAGGACAAAGTATGTTTTCTTCCCCAAAAATGATATATTTGATCTTATTAAAACAACAAGAGAATAAAAACTTCCCCTAAATAGGAGTACATGAAAGTATGACACCCCATCCCTGAGGGCCCCAACCCGGACCGGACGGTACGTTGTGAGGATGTAAATTGGACTATAATCCCAATCTGACATCCCAATCTGACAGATAGAGAGTGGGGCTCTGTCCCCGATACTTGCAGAGGCCCTATGCATTTTTAGCATAATAACCCCTCATCGCAGTTGCCCGGATTCAAACCCGGGACCTAACCTTGTGCCACTCCCTTGCTACCGGTTCCCCTAAATAGGAGTACATGAGTATATATTGAGGGAAGAAAACATGTCTACTCCTATTTCAAAAAATTTGATACGATGTAATTTTTAAGGAATTTTTTAAATGCGCCATACCGTGTGATCCATCAACCATACTTTATACTACCAGCTATTACACCCAATGAATCAGAATTTACGGTTGTCAAACCCAAAAAATGAGAAGTGTAAAAACTGGCCCTAAAATTAGAAACCAAATATAGGCCATAACCTAAAATGAAATTCCCAAATCAAGAATATGTTCCGACACAATAAGGTGAAATCAATTAATTAGATTAAGCAAAGGGCAAAAAAGAGGACCTTGTTCTTCTCAATTCTCTTAACAGCAACACGATCTCCATTGGACTTGTAGGTGGCAACGTACGTGTATCCAAATTGGCCATGTCCTAATAACTTACCAAGACTATATCTTTTATCAAAATCCCTATCATATCCAAAATCTGTTCTCTTCCCACAAGGGATAACCCCACTTTTCCGGGAATTCGGCTGTTGACGCTCATGCCCTTTGTGAGCGGCCTTTTGTACAGAACAATGCGGCTCCTTTATGACCGCCCCCTTGCGGATGTTCACCGCGGTGGTGCCGGAAGAAGTGGCGCGGCTGCTGTTAGAACCACTGACTTTAGATGTTGAAAAGCAACTACCCATGTCTTGAAAATCGAAAAAAAGAACTAATATATTTCTGCACAGGGGGTTGGAATTTTCAGAACGGGTGAAAAAACTATAAGGAAGTAATATTATACGCGGACACATGCAGAGAGAGAGAGAGCCAAATGAATATATACAGATGCAGAGAATGCGAGAGATAATATAATGAGATTTGTGGAGAGGAAAGTTTCGAGCAGGGAGGAGGAAGCAGAGGAGAAGGTGGTAGTGGCGAAGGTCAAAATAAAATGAGATGTGTTGGGAGGAAAGAGAAGCCCGGGGTGCAAGTGTGCAACAAGCCTCTTCCCCATTTGCTTTTTCCCTGCATTGAGGAACCTGCTCTTGCTAAGCTTACACATTTTGGTTTCGACCTTTCGTACGTTCACGTATAAATCTCACGCACAAGGAGATATCCGTCTACAACTCATGAGACAAGAGTTTATGAGGGGTCTCCATCAAAATGTGTATACGAAACACGTAGTACTAATGATTTTTACATATTATTCTTTCTTTCATTATTTTAATATCAAATCAGATCAGACTTAAATAAATTAGATTTGATTTTAATAGTTATAAAATACACATATGCACAGTTTGGATAGCAGCGGTTTACACAAATCGCTATTTTTTATAACTAGAAACACTGCATTTTGCAACGGGTGGGTATCTAGCTGCCGAAAAACAAACGAGACCATAGACCAAACATTTATTAGATCACTTACGGTGGTAAAGCGATTTTGTTATGCTTTGTTTAAAAAACTCAATGGCTGCATTCCAAGAGTTGCAAACAGACGATGTGAAGCATTGGTAAATTTAAATGGCAAACATGTTACCAGTTACACTAAAGACATTTTGTGAGGTGTAGGTCGTGCTCACCCTCATTATAACATAAGTCCGCTAGTGATTATAGTTCAAGTACTAACATCATATGGGTTATAATTTATACTCTCTAATAGTAAGTGTGTTCTTCATTGGATTTACACCCTATACGCCGTGCGTGCCTAGAAGATGACCATGCGACGAAAAAGCCCAGGCACGATCGTGCCTGGGGAGATAGGCACGTCGTGCCTGTAGCATATCGAAGAACTCATTCGCTGGAGGCCCGACACGGTTGTGCCTGGGGTGATAGGCACGTCGTGCCTGTAGCATATCGAAGAACTCATTCCCTGGAAGCCAGGCACGGTCGTGCTTGGCAAGGCAGGCACGTCGTGCCTGGACGCGAAAAGTGAGATTTGCTCCGGAGGCACGGTCGTGTCTGGCGCCTTGCATGAATGCTGTTAAATTTGTGTTTGAATAATTTAACTGATATCTTTTGTAACCTGGAACCGCAACTAGAATTACAATTGCTTGTAGAATAAATTAAGAGAGATCTAGTTTATTCTGAGACACATTCACACACACTTAATCGTTCGCCAAGAGATTAGTAGCGACTAAGGGGCCGTAAGCTCACTCGTCTTGGCAATAATTTAGGATCCTGTCGCATGAGAGATCAGCCTGGTCCCCTAAATTATTGTACTCTACACAACGAGAGCGGTAAGAACTTACTAATGATTAGGTAGGCTCAATTAAATTAATTTCATGTGATTAAGCCTGATCAGCCAGAAATCTGATTACCCCGGAATCAATCTCTGCTCTCTTCGTCGTTAATTAAAGAGAAACCAATATTTTATTTTAATTGTTCATTCGCATTAGTTAATTTTCCAAACCAACCAATCTCGCACAATTTATTTTATTTTGTTTCTCTTTTATCGCTGAATTTGATTAATTCTTAATTCCCTTTTATCCGTCCCTGTGGAGACGATACTCGTACTTACACTCTATACTGCTACATATTTTAAGTGCGAGAAAACTCACATCAGTTTTTAGCACCGTTATCGGGGAAAGATTGGCTGGAGGGTGGTTGTTGGGTCTTCATTCATGGTCGGAGCTCGCGCGGGGGGAGAGAAGAAAATTGTGTGCTTTGTGTGAGTGAAAAGAAAAAAGGGTGTTGGGTTTTTGTTTTAAGTCGCAGGGTTGTTGAAATTTTTACCCAGGCACGGCGTGCGTATGATATGCACTAATTAGTAGTGCATAAATGTATCTTTTTATGTTTGATTTGTGTGGATTGTTTACCATTTTATTTAGTTTGTAACCATTTGTGTGATTTTAGTTGTAATTTTATTTTCTGATTTGTAAAGTAGGGTTAGGATCTATGGTGTTGGAAAGGAAGACTTTGAAGTGAAGAAAAATGATTATTGGCTGCTCAGGACAATCACCTGGTCGGGTGAGATATTGCACCCGGTCGGGTGAGACATTGAAAAGCGAAGGTGGCTGGAAACTAGAATCACCCGGTCGGGTGAGGTATTTCACCCGGTTGGGTCTGACTTGACCCGGGACATTTTAACGTGCTGAAACACAAGAACCTGGAAGATTATCTGATTTTGACATGCACCCGGTCGGGGGGCACTTGACCCCGTCGGCTACCCGGTCCAAGGTGTTGAAAAACACCTATAAATAGCACACTTTTCTTCACAAAAAATCATCCCTTCTTCCATACTCTTAAGCTCAGTTTAGAATATCATTTCTTTATATATATTTTTAGCATGTTTAGTCTCCAAATGAGGAGCTAAACTCTCATTTCTTGGTGTTGCTCTTGAAGCTTGTTGATTATTAAAGTTGTGAGTTATTTTCCTAACTTCTTCCCTTGAATATTAATTCTTCCCTTAATCTATCTATATATTAATGTTGGGGAGTGTTACTAAGATGTCAATTAGTTAACATCTCGACATTAGTTATAGTAGTATTTATTTTCTTCCTCTATATATTAATGTTGGGGAGTGTTGCTAAGATAACAATTAGTTAACAACTTCACATTAGTTATAGTAGGATTTATCATCTTTAATATTCTTCCTTGAATATTAATTAATTCCTATTCATATTTCATATTAATATTTGAACATTACTTGAAGGATCGACCAGTTTTGTTTCATATATTAATTATTACTAGAAACGATCGACGAATCGATGGTTAATCGTTGATTGTTTCACAAGTAAGTAACTTCGGTTTATTAATGCACGGTCGTGGTTAATAAATTTAAGAGGGAATAATTTTGTTGGTTAAACTGAAACCGTTGTGTTGAGGTTATCAATCTCAATTGATTCATGAAGGAGTTAAGAGATTAAATGCTACTATCAAGTCGGTATATGGCGGTATTCTATACTTGACTAGTAGTAAGGGTTATTAATGAACGGTCGTTGTTAATAACTACCCTTGATGAATTGGATATACTCCTCGATTGAGTATTCGAGAGGGAATAAGTTATAGATATAACAATGATCGACTAAAATATATCAACAAGTGGAAAATAGCAATGCCAAGTCCTATACAAGAAAACCCTAATATATAGAACTCTGGCGACATGACGGAATTGCCGGTCACGCAGCCGCCTGATGGCGGAGGAGGAGGTGCTTGGGGGAGGAAATCCTTTGCTAACGTTGTGGTTGAGAGGTCGCAGCTTCTCCCAGAAAAATCAAGATTCAAGGGCATGCCATCGATTAATTTTTCTGAAGGAGACATTATGAAATTGGCCGATAAACATAAGCGTGCTCTTGTGGGATATTTTTTCAAAGGTAAACCCAGTTTATCGATCATCCGTAAAGCCTTTGAAATCATTGGTTTCAAAGGTAATTTTCACTTGGGGACTTTGGATTCGAAACATATTCTTATTAGATTTGATTTGGAAGAGGAATTTTTAAGATGTTGGACTGGGCAATCCTGGGTTGTTCAGGGGTTTGTGATGAGGGTTACTAAATGGACTCCGGAGTTCAGACCTAATGTTGAATCTCCTATGATTCCAGTCTGGATTTCGTTGGAAGGGCTCCCTATTCATTTACAGGACAAATCTGCCCTGTTTGAGATCGTTAGTCTGATTGGTAGACCTCTAAAAATTGATTCAGCAACGGCCACACTATCCAGACCAGTTGTGGCCAGAGTGTATGTGGAACTTGATCTCACTAAGGATATGCCTTCTAAAATTTGGATCAACTGTGGTAAGAATGGTTTTTCCCATCCCATTTACTATGAAAATAGGCCAGATTATTGCACTGGCTGTCTTCATTTAGGTCATTCCTTTGGGAAATGTCCTAAGAAACAGCCTGTTCAATCCTTGGATCACGAGGAAAAATGGGTTCAGAAAAAAGATGTTACACAGGTTGTAAAGTTTACTAGAGCTGAGAAAGGAAAAGATAAGATTACATATGATAAAGAAGACTACAAGCAATCTACTTCTAAAATCCCAATGGAGGTGATTGAAACTGAATCAATTTCTGAAGGTGAAGGGGTCTTTGTGGACTCCATGACTCAGCCTGCAGAGGAGGAAAGAAACAAAATTACAAGTCTGTTAGAAAAGGATTTTCCTGGGATCCTGAGGGCAACTCCCAAGGAAATTTATGGCATTCAAGACGATTCCCAGCTACATAAGATAGCCTTTCTCCATAATGGTAAATCTACAGGGCATGTCAAGGAGTGTTATTCAAATGGGGAGGAAGTTCAGGTTGATACTACCTCTTTTCTGGTCAAATGGACACAGATTTGTGCTGGTGTGGATCATATTGTAAAATCTATGGCTCAGTCTGCAAATCAAGTTCAAGAAACTAGTCAGGCAGCTCAGAATGCAAAGGAGGAGAATCAAAACATGCAAGAGAAAGCAATAAATCAAGATGAGGATGCAGATGTTGACACTGATAGCAATTCAGAGGGAGTGTTTACTAAAGTTACCAGAAGAAGACATAATAAGAAGCAGATTCCAGACAATCAAAACAAGAGAAACACTAGGAGTGTGGCCAGGGGTGCCACAACCACAGTTGTTTCTCAATGAATAGCTTATTCTGGAACACTAGGGGTCTAGAATCCTCCTGTTCTAGACTGTTTTCCCTAGTTAAGCAGTGGAGGGTACAGTTATTAATTATTATTGAGCCCTTGGTTTCAAGCAACAGAATTGATACATTTAAGCAGACTCTGGGGTTTGATAAAGCTATTTGCTCTGACATCACAAAAATCTGGTTATTTTGGGATTCTTCCTTTTTGGATGTTACAAGTATTCATTGGCATGATCAGTTTGTTCATTTTAAAGCCTTGGGAGCAGCTTTTAATGGATGGGTCACTGGTGTGTATGGGGGTCACACATTATTAATAGAAGACAGATGTGGGAGGGTCTTAAAAATATCTCAGATAATATCAAGGAGCCATGGATGATAGGAGGAGATTTTAATGCCATTGCATCATATAGTGAGCATAAAGGAACACGCTTACCTTTTCTGCATGGTATTGATGATTTCTCTCATTGTATTGCAGCTTGCAACCTGATTGATTTACCTTTTTCTGGACCTCAATTTACCTGGACAGGAGTTAGGTCGAATGG